TAAAAGCACCTTTTGTTGTTGTTGTTGTTTGTTTTTAAAGATTTTATTTATTTATTTGACAGAGAGATCTCAAGAGAGGAAACACAAGCAGGGGGAGTGGGAGAAGGAGAAGCAGGCTTCCCGCCAAGCAGGGAGCCCAATGCAGGGCTCTACCCCAGGATCATGACCCTGGCGGAAGGCAGATGATTACAACCGAGTCACCCAGGTGCCCCAAAATCACCTGTTTTAAGAGGGCTCCCATTAGGAGCACCTGGGTGGCTCAGTTGGTTAAGTCTGACTCCTGATCTCAGCTCAGGTCTTGATCTCAGAGTTATTGAGTTCAAGCCCCATGCTGGGCTCCATGCTGGCAGTGGAGAGGAAGGAAGGAAGGAAGGAAGGACTGACTCCATTTAATTCTTTTTTTTTTTTTTTTAAGATTTTATTTATTTATTTGACAGAGATCGCAGGTAGGCAGAGAGAGAGAGAGGAGGAAGCAGGCTCCCTTAGGAGCAGAGAGCCAGATGCGGGGCTCGATCCCAGGACCCTGGGATCATGACCTGAGCGGAAGGCAAAGGCCCTAACACACTGAGCCACCCAGGCGCCCCTAATTCTAATGCAACCTGAAGTTCGAGACCAATGCTATGTGCATTGAAAGGTCAACTGCAAGTTGCAGCAAAAGGTCATCTGTTTTTCTTTGGAGAATGAGATTTGGGTGATTTATTCTTTTCTTTTTTGCATCTTCCTATAGTTTATAAAAATAGTAAATGTTACATGTCTACTTTCCAAATGAAACTAACCATAATTTTTTCCAGGTTATAAAAGTAATATGTGGGTTCCAGTTCTAATATGATGCTGAACTTGAATCACTCCGGGAATCAGTCACATGTGTCTTTCAGTCATGTGCGGCACCATTGCAAATATGAGGAGGATGTGATGGTTAACTGTGTGTGTCAACTTCACTGGGTTAAGGGATGCCCAGATAGCTGCGTGTGTCTCTTGGGGTGTCGTCTCCAAAAGAAATTAGCATTTCAATCAGTTGATTGAGTACAGATCTCCTTCAACAATGTGGGTGGGCATCATCCAAACCGCTGAGAGCCTGAATAGAACTATTTAGGGGGCGGAAGCAGACTTGGGGAAACTGAGTTTCTCTGAAATCCCCATTTCTGAATCTCCACATCAAATAACAGAAGCAGATCTGTGATACTGAAGCTGAAATTCCCCTTTCTTGCGTGCAAAGCCATGGGGGGGAGGGGTCTTTTTAAAAAAGACTACATTTCCCAGCCTTCCTTGCGGAAGGTCATCCTGGCCAATGATATGTGAGCATCGGTCACGTGGCAACTTCCAGGACTTTACGAGAGAGACGTCTTCGCACTTACTTCTCCCGCCTTAATCGCTTAGTGCGCGGCCTGGAGCGCGGCTGACACGACGGTGGAGAACGTGGGCCACAACGTGGGAGGGGTTGGGAGGAGCCTGCACCCGTAAGGACTTTGGAGCACAGCGCTGTCTGGCACCACTGGACAGCCCACCATCCTCCTCCTTTTAATTTTTTTTTTTTAAGATTTTATTTATTTATTTTAGAGAGAGTGAGAGAGAGCATGAGAGAGAAGAAGGTCAGAGGGAAAAGCAGACCCTCCATGGAGCTGGGAGCCCGATGCGGGACTCGATCCCAGGATTCCGGGATCATGACCTGAGCCGAAGGCTGTCATCCAACCAACTGAGCCACCCAGGCGTCCCACCATTCTCCTCCTTTTAAATGAGAGGGAAACAAGCTTCTCCCTTGTTTAAGCCACTGTTTTTGCATTTTGCTGTTACAGCCGAACCTAATCTTAGTTACAGAGCCAAGGGAGAAGGTAATGGGTTGGCAGGTCCCCATGGGTGATAAAACCTCAGAGCCTGGGGCGCCTGGGTGGCTCTGTGGGTTAAGCCTCTGCCTTCGGCTCAGGTCATGGTCTCAGGGTCGGGATCGAGCCCCACATCAGGCTCTCTGCTCAGCAGGGAGCCTGCTTCCCTTCCTCTCTGCCTGCTGCTCTGCCTACTTGTGATCTATCTCTCTCTCTCTCTCTCTCTCTCTCTCTGTTAAATAAATAAATAAAATCTTTAAAAAAACAAAACAAAACAAAAACGCAGAGCCGTAGGGTAGGGGTATTGGGAGCCACAGACTGAAGACCAGGGGAGAAGAGAGAGGAGCGGGGACCACCTGTGAACAGAAGGTCGCTTATCCGGAGGGTTTTCAGGCTGGGAAAGGGTTTGAAGGGTCAGACACTATGCCACGGAAGGAGTGGGGGGAGGTAGGGACGTGCCACCGAGTAATCAGAAACGAACGCACCCACGGTCTGAGGCCGATACCTTTCCCACCCATGCCGAGGGGGAAGGAAAGTGAGGGAGGAATTTTGCCATTAACCCGTTTTGGCGTTTTCATTTCTACTCAGGACTGGACATTCTGATCTTGGACCAAATCGGCCATTTCAGTGATCGCAAGCCTTAGAGGAGAGCGGTGAGCAGCTGAGGCTTGCGACCCACCAACGTGATCATGGTCTGGGGGCGCAGATGACCTGCACCCTCTGCAATCCTCCCACCCCCCTTCTTTCACCCCCTGGCAAAAATTTACTGAGCATCTACCGGGTGCCAGGGACTGTTGCAGGTGCTGACACAGGGCAGAGAACAGAACACCAGAGCCCTGCCCTCATGGAGCTGACATACTAATGGAGGAGATGGTGCCATACAGGATAAACAAATCAAAATAAAAAATACCAAGTATGTTAGGTAGTGATCAGTGCGAAGGAAATAAAGCTGAGAAAGGGGACAGGAAGGAAGGGGTTAATTCCAGCAAGGGCTGCTAGGGAAGGCCTCACTAAAAGGCAACATTTCTGTGAAGACTAAAAATTGTCAGAGCGGCAACAGGGAAGGGGAAATACAATTGTGTCTTGATGATGTCACTTACTGGGTACGACCGTGCTGTGGCAGCACGTGTGTCTGTGTGTGACAGAATGGGAACTGGCTCCACAGCCCCACAGGCTAGGGCGAGATATCTGGGACAGGGATTGAGTGGGACCCTGTGCTGGTTGGGCCTCTTAGCCCGCTCCCAATCTTGAGTATGGCCAAGAATGGGGCCATGTGTCACCAGCCCTGGACAGCATCAGTGACACCTCCTCTCTGGCTGGACAACGCTATCTGAGAAGGAGGTTGGGCCCCAGAGATTGCAGAGTCTCCCGTGTCTGGCCCTGTGGCATCAGGGGCTGGGGACAGCGCAGGGTGACCATGCGCCTACCCCACCCGAGCCCACCACCTCTGCCATTTTCCACTCCCGACAGGCAGACGGTCTGATGGGGTTTTTCCAGGCTGGGCCAGTGGCCTGACCCAGCAGGGACCATGAGGACAGGGCAGGGACCATTCCTGGACAGTCAGGAAAGATGAGGTGTGTCCCTGAGCCCCCATGGCTGGGGCTGGGGGTTGGGGGTCGGGGAACAGCTTTGCCAGGAACAGGCAGAGGTCAGGGTTGGGAAAGTCAGCCACGCCTCCCACCCCGTATCCTGTTTTGGAATGTGGGGCCCTAGCGTGTGCTTTCCTTTGGACTTTGTCCAAGGCAGTGTCTCCCCACCCAGGCCCACTCCCAGAGGAACTCTGCATGACGGTGGGCAGGGTTCCCTGGCACATCCATCATTAGCCTAGGGGTTTTCCAGGCTGGGCTGGAAAGTGAGTGAAAGGCCAGTGTGAGTGAAGGGCACATTGCCCAGCCCTTCCTGAAATCAGGCCAGGGGGTCCCTGTCAACACATGGAAAATTATACAGGCTCCCGTGGCTGAAGGGAAGAAGAAATGTGGAGGAGGAGAGTCTTGGCCTCCCCACTCAGAATCGGGCAGGCATGGTCCACTTCCAGTGTCTGGGCAAACTAGGCCCAACAAAAGCCCTGGGGTTGTCAGGCCCTGAGAAACCCAAGCAGGCCAGAGGGAGAGCAGTTCCATGATGGGCTCAAGCGCATGGGCCCCCAAGCAGTCAAGCCCGGCATGAGACAGGGACCAGCTACTTATGTGCTATGTGACTGTGCAAGTGGCTGAGACCCTCCGAGTCCCAGCTTCCCTCCCATCAGGGTAGTCAAGAGGACTAAATGAGCTAATCTGTATGATGGGCTCAGTGTAGTGCCTGGTCAAGACGAGGTGCCCAGGTGGAGGGGAATGGTGTGTGTGTTGGGCAGATTCCTAGAAAGGCCTACAGGGAACGAAAAAAGTGTCTCAGCCTGGAGGTGTTCCCTCCTTGGCCACTCAGGTCACCATGAGTCATCCTAACTCTTCTAAGGGACAGTTTCTCCTGCCACCTACAGTCACAGGATGTGATTCAGAGCCTTCTAGGAGAAGTCTATTTATTTTTCCCATTATAAAATAACACGCTTATTATAATAAATCTGGAAATTATAGAAAAGCAGAAAAAAAGCAAAAGCTTTTATTTAACCACCAATGCTGATAACTCTTGATGCCTTAATGGTTTCCATATGGGACTTTTTTCCAGGCACAGGTTTTCTTTGTTCTCCGTAATATGACTAGGACCTTAGCTTTAAGACATAGAGCTAGAAGGAAACTTGGGGGTCACATGGCCCAGCGTCCTCAGCTGACAAGCCAGGAGACTGGCCCAGAAGAGCTCAGTGACTTGTCCAAAGCCAGCAGTGACAGAGCTGCTGCCCCCAACTCAACACCAAACTTCTCTCCAGCTTCGAAGGTGCCAGTCAGTTGATAGTGCATCTAGGCCTTCCAATTTGAGGGAGTCTGTTCCATGGGCTTCCATAAAGCACCCCCCACAAAAGCGGTTGGTTCTGGTTAACCCCCTCCCCCATTCCCAGGACACACAGCAGTGGGATGGGGGTGGGAGTGGGTTAGGGAGAAAGGGAGGCTGGCAAAGCCCAGCAAGGGGCATGGCCCTGTGTCTGTTCCCAAGGGTGGAGCCAGGCAGCAGGGCCACCCTGTCCCTTTAAGAGAAGGGGGAGAGCAAGCCCCTCTCAGCCACTCTGTCCTGTCATCCATCCTGGCCAAATCCAAAAGGGAAAATGAAAGAGGGCCTAGGAGGAACAAGTCCCAGCCATCCCCCAGGATCCCTCCCTCAGCTCTAACACCTCAGCTCCAGCTCCAGGGTGAGTGGGGTCAGGTGAGGGTCTGGGGGGCACCTGGGGGCTGTGGGACCTGTGTGAGTGTGTGTGTGTTGGGGGAGGTTCTCAGGAGATGTGGGAGGCTGGAAGTTGAGGGACACCAGGGAGGAGATGGAGAGGGCTGGGCCCCTATTCCTGCCACTCTGCGGTGGGATGGCAGGGGACACCTAGAACAAAGGATAGAGTTAAGGAAGTGGGACTACTTTTGTGTCCACCCCACAATTCTGAGAGGAGTTCACTGCAATAAGAAGGGCAAGAGAAACGGTGAGCAGAGGAAACAGGTGCGGTCCCTCTGGATCAACTGGCTCCCACCTCTCCCAGGGGCACCAACTTGGGTCTGGAGTCCTGGGCTGGAGGCCCCACGGTGGCCCGCGGAATGCATCCTGGAGCCCATAAGGTCACGCCTGGGTTTCTACTTCTACAATGCAGTGGGTGGCTGCCCTTCTGATGTCCAAGTTCACTCCCTACAGATCTGTACTCTGGAGGAGCATGCGGTCCAGCCAAGCAGGCCCCTGGGTGTCTGACTAGAGCGCCAGGGAGGGGCTGCTCCCCAGTACCTGCCGGTCCCAAGGAGAAGGGCACCCACAGTGGAGAATCTCCTGACCCCTCCGGCCCAGCCCCTGCGGACTCCCTAGTTCCCACAAAATCCCAGCTAAACCCAGGCCTCGCTGAGCCCCAAGGTTAGAAGGGGGCTCGCGGATCTCTCGGCACCGGCTGGGGGGAGGCCGATCCGCCGCTGACGCCCCCCCCCCCCCCGCGTCCGTCCGCAGCGCCATGGGCGAGTGGGCGTTCCTGGGCTCGCTGCTGGACGCCGTGCAGCTGCAGTCGCCGCTCGTGGGCCGCCTGTGGCTGGTGGTCATGCTGATCTTCCGCATCCTGGTGCTGGCCACGGTGGGCGGCGCCGTGTTCGAGGACGAGCAGGAGGAGTTCGTGTGCAACACGCTGCAGCCGGGCTGCCGCCAGACGTGCTACGACCGCGCCTTCCCCGTCTCCCACTACCGCTTCTGGCTCTTCCACATCCTGCTGCTCTCGGCGCCGCCCGTGCTCTTCGTCATCTACTCGGTGCACCGGGCCGGCAAGGAGGCGGGCGGCGCGGACGCCGGGCCCGGGCCCCCGCCGCGCCGCCGCTGCTACCTGCTGAGCGTGGCGCTGCGCCTGCTGGCCGAGCTGGCCTTCCTGGCGGGCCAGGCGCTGCTCTACGGCTTCCGCGTGGCCCCGCACTTCGCGTGCGCCGGCCCGCCGTGCCCGCACACCGTGGACTGCTTCGTGAGCCGGCCCACCGAGAAGACCGTCTTCGTGCTCTTCTACTTTGCCGTGGGGCTGCTCTCCGCGCTGCTCAGCGTGGCCGAGTTGGGCCACCTGCTCTGGAAGGGCCGCCCGCGCGCCGGGCGCTGTCGCCAGGGGGCCGAGCGCGACGGCCGCCGCCGCCGGGCGCACGAGGAGGCGCAGCAGCTGCTCCCGCCGCCGCCGCTGCCGCCGCCGCCGCTACCCCCGATCCCGCCCTCCCGCCGCCCGCGCCCCGACGACCCCAGCGGCCCGCCCGCCTACGCGCACCCGGGCCCCGCCGGAGACAGCGAGGGCGGCAGCGGCCGCAGCAAGGCGTCCCTGGCCACCGTCCGCCAGGACCTGGCCATCTAGAGGCGGGCGGAACAGGGCGCTGCCCGAGCCCTTCCTGGGGGCTGTCGGTGGTGCGGGGGCTGGGGCAGGAACGGAGGCCCGGGACCGAGAAAAAGCGCCCCAGAGGACATAGTAGAGAGGGAAGTGGAGGTTCGGGTGGTGCCCAGAAAAAGTCGTCGTGACACCAGCTTCCCGCGGGCCTCTCGGCGTTCACACTGGGGTGTGGCCCCTGTGCGGGCTCTCTCTGTGCGTGCGCACATGTACACCTCTGTCCAGTGTGAGCTGCGTGTGCGCGCGTGCGTTTATCCTGTGTGAGCTGTGTGTGTACGAGTGTGTGGGCACGGGTGCATCCTGTGTGGGCTCGCTGTGTGCGCGTGTGTGTGCCCATGTGGGTTCCGTGTATGTACAGGCATCTGTGTGCCCTGGGTGACTGCATGTGAGAGAGAGAGAGAGCCGATAAGGTGCCAGCGACAGCCACCGTGGCTCCCTCCTTACCTTTGGGGGCATTGCAGGAAGCTCTCTCCTCTTGATGGAGCCCACACAGGGAAAAGAGAGGTGCCCCTTCACCCTGGGCAGGCCTCCCTGCGGCTGGGTTTGTGGGTACCACCCACACCCTCCCGAGGTGGCCTGGGCACTGCGGCCAAGGCCTCCCTTTGTTGCAAGTAGAGTGGGGGTGGACAGTAGGGTTGGAGGGCAGGGCTCTGTCCTAGCTCCCCCCCTACCCTTGCTGCTATTCCCCAAGTCCATAAACATGCCCAAGTTCCTTCCATCCTCGAAAGAAATCTGCCCCAAAACATGCTCCCGGACCCACATTTCCCTGCAGACACCACCGTCTTCCCTCCTAGGGAGATACAAGAGTTACCTAGTGGCTGTCTCTTGTCCCCCTCCTGTTTCTTTTCCACTCCCATCTGTCTTACTCCCTTGCCACCCCAGTGGGGTTGCTCTCCCTAAGATCACCCAGGACCTAAGGGACCTTCAGGGGCCCCCATCTGATCCTGCTCTGGCCTTTATCCAACCCTGCTTGAGCAGGCCACCCCCACCCACCCTGCCTGATCTCCTAGTCCCCCTGCTCACGCCCTCAGGGGCTCCCTGTCATCAGGGTAAGGCCAGCACCAGAATGAGGCTTCTGGAGTCTCACCCTGTCCTGTTCTGCCCCAGCCCCAGGGTGCGGGCTTCCTACGGTATCTGTGCTCCAAACCATACTGAGTTTTCTCTTCTTACCAGGCACAGTGACCCATCTCCTTCCAGAAGTTTGATCATGCTGTTTCTTGGCCTGGTGCAACCTGCCTCCTGCCCTAGCTAATACCTACCTTTTGGTCTCATTTGGTAACAAACAGGTCCCTTCCCTCACAGCACCTGCCCCCAAGGTGCAGCTAGATGCCCGTGGCACCCCAACTTCCCCAGGCAGAGCATGCCTGCTGGATGGCGTCACTGCCCCCCCCCCATCAGCCCAGAGGAGATGCTTAGTAAATCTGCGTTCATGAGGAGCTGAAATTGTCCCCGAGGCCCCAGGGCTTACCTGTGCTCGTGGTGTGCAACAGCATTTCTTTGATGATGGCCAGGTATGTGTGCAAAGCCTGGGCCGCGAAAAAACTCAGATGTGGACATCCAGCTGTTTTCCAGGTGTACTCATTCAAGAAATATTTGTTGAGCACATACTCTATGCCAGACAATGTTCAAGATAGGCACTGTTCCGTAGACATAGGATGTGAGCCACATGTGTAGTTTAAAATTTTCCATCAGCTACTTAAAAAAAAGTAAAAGGAAACAGATGAAATTAATTTTAATGACATATTTTCTTTAACCCATTGTGTCCAAAATGTTATTTCAACACATCGTCAATATAAAAAAAATATTAAAGAGATATTTATTCTTTCTTTGTACTAAGTCTTTGAAATCTAGTGTGTATTTTATGCTCAGAGCACATCTCAATTTGGAACAACCACATTTCTTTAAAAGATTTTATCTATCTATTTGAGAGATTGAGACAAGAAAGAGCATGAGTGGGGAGGAGAGGGAGAAGCAGGCTCCCTGCTCGGGAGCCAGCTGCAGGACTTGATCCCAGGAGCCTGGGATCATGACCAGAGCAGAAGGCTGATGCCCAGCCTACTGAGCCACCCAGGTGCCCCTGGGCCAGCCATATTTTTAAGACTCGGTCACCACATGTGGCTAGTGACTGCTGTATTGAACAGAGCAGATCCATATGGGCTCCATTGGTGAATAAAACTTGCCCTCACAAAGCTTCCATTCTGGTGGGAAGGCAGGCAATAGAATATATGCCAGGTATCACTCAGAGTAAGGTGAGAGAGTTACTATTGCTGGGGAGTGACACTGGAACAGAGTGCAGCAAAGAGCTAGCCATGAAGCTGGCTCCAGGAAGAGCATTCTGGGTGGAGGGAATGGCAAGTGCAAAGGCCCTGAGGCAGGAATACACTGGGGATGTTAGAGGCTAGCAAGGAGGCCCATGTGGCTTGAGTGGAGTAAGGGATCAGAGGGGGGCTCACCAGCACCTCAAATGCAACCCCAACTGCCTTAGTTCCACCTCTCAGTGCTGCTGTCTCCATCCACCCTGACCATCTCCACCCACTACAGCGAGAGCCTGTCTCCTGCCCACCCCCTATGTCCTGTCAATCACCTGGTCTTCCCATTTTGCTACCTAAGCATTTCCTCCCTTTACCCACTCTCACCCCTTCAGGGGCTGCCCAGGGTCAGCCTTGACATCAGTGGCCTGGAGTGCTCCCACAGCTTCTGCCCTGTTTCCTGCAATTCCAATCCGAATAGCTCACTTGCTGGCTTGAAATCCTTCACTCCCATCGCCCTCAGGGTCAAGTCCAGCTCCTGAACCAGCCCTGGCCTGAGCCCACCCCAGCCTCTTCAACTTAACTTCTTCCAGCATTCCAACCAAAATAGTTAAAGCAGAGAGAGAGCTGGTGATGGGTTTTTTTTCTCTTTCTTTCTTTCTCCTTTCTTTTCTCTTCTTTTCTTTCTTTTTTTTTTTTTTTCAGGCTTTGTTTATGGGAGCATGGGTGGCTCAGTTGGTTAAGCTACTGCCTTCGACTCAGGCCATGATCCTGGAGTCAAGGGATCGAGTCACTGGGCTCCCTGCTTGGTGGGGAGTCTACTTCTCTCTCTGACCCTCATTCTCTCTCAAATAAACACATAAAATCTTTAAAAAAAAACATATTTTATGTATTTATTTACAGAGAGAGCGAGAGAGCACAAGCAGGAGGAGCAGCAGAGGGAGAAGGAGAAGCAGGCTCCCTGCTGAGCAAGGAGCCCAATGCAGTGCTCAATCCCAGCACCCTGGGATCATGACCTAAACCAGAGGCAGACGCTTAACCATCTGAGCCACCAAGGCGCCCTTGCTGACAGTTTCTGATCGCATGAAGCTATTTATCACCTCTGGCTAACTCTTCCCCTTACACCCTCAGAAGGCTGGTAGGGAGCACCTCTTCCAGCAAGCCTTCTGAAACTTCCCCCAGGCCTGGTTAAATGCCCAGTGCTCTCATAGGCTCAAGACTTAGTCACTGCTTTCCCCAGGTTGTAACCCAGTCACCATCCTTGGGTCAGTCTCCTCTGTGGAGGAGGGGCGCTGGACCCAGCGCAAAGCACATGTCACACCATGGTCGAGAAATTGCTCAGCAGCGATGAGCTTTGAGCCACCGAGTGCAACCTCAAGCCCCAGGGTCAAAGGTACTACCCCGGGGTGGGGGGCACTCTTTAAATGTGGGACCACTGCTCTAGTCGCCACAGTGAGGGCGGCATTCTCGGCATTTGGTAGACAAACGCTAGAAATGCCAAGATGCCCTCCTGCAATACAGAATTATCACGCGTGGGGGCGCCCGTGGCTCAGTCAGAGGAGCATGGGACGAACATAGGATCGTGAGTTCAAGCTGTACAGTGGGTGCACAGCTAAAAAAAAAAAAAGAATCGTCACACATGACTTTAGAATGTCCAACTGGACAGTCACAAAGGGAAAACCCTCTCCATAATTACCTGAGCGTAAAACCGGATTCTGTTCTACATGTAAAATATTAGGGTTTTGTTTCGGGATTTGGTGGGGGAGGTCGGGTGGCATGGTTTCATTATACATTGTCAGCTTTTATTTCAACATTCACCCAGATTCCTTAAGTTTCCAGGGTTTCTTGTACAGAATGGCTTCCAACCTTCTCACTTGTTTTAATTTATTTTATTTTATTTTATTTTATTTTATTTCTTTGACAGAGAGAGAGATCACAAGTAGGCAGAGAGGCAGGCAGAGAGAGGAGGAAGCAGGCTCCCTGCTGAGCAGAGAGCCTGATGTGGGGCTCGATCCCAGGACACTGGGATCCTGACCTGAGCTGAAGGCAGAGGCTTTAACCCACTGAGCCACCCAGGCGCCCCCCTTCTCACTTAATTTAAATGCCAATGCATTAATTAAAAAGTAGAAGTAATCATGGGACCATGTCCTAACTGCCACGCAGCTGTGTGCATTAACACGCTGAAATTCAGTCGTTTCCCTCCGTTTCTCCTTTAGGCTACAGTGTGATAGCATAGCGATTTTTGTAAAGCACGTGGGTAGGTATGTTATGTTAAATTCCGGTCAGATACATAAACAAAATATTAGAAAAAATTTGCTGGAGGAAGAGAACTGTCCCTACGCGCACTCAGGCCAGCCAGAGGGCGAAATAAGTGAGACGCTGCCGCCACCTGGTGGCTGAAGTAGAAATGGCATGCAGACCCCCGCGGAAGGAGCTCTTCCTGCCCAGAAAATCTCTCTTCCTTGCCCAGCCCTGCCAACCCACCCCAGACACAGCCTCCACTGCCACCTCTCTGGAGTCCTTAGACCTCAGTGCTTGACGCTTCTTTGGGGGCATCAGGGTTCCAGGAAAGACCTCTGGCTGAGAGGTGGAAGCCCTGAGTACTGGGCCACCATCTGCGACAAATTCGCTGTGTGAATTCTGGGCAAGGGCACTACCCTCTCTGGGCCTTGATGTGTAGTGGGAAGGGTGGATTTTGATGCCACTACAGGCCTGCCACACTTGATCCTCTCAACCTCTCAGATTCCCTTGCAACTTGTCTTCTGT